CTAGCATGGGGAAATTATTATAATATCAAGCTGGTGGAAATTTCTTAAGGAAAAATCAAAATACAAAATTACTTACAGAACAATTCCAACTCTCTCAAAATATATCTGTTTAAAGCAAAAGATGAGGAAAAAATAGAAAGATTTGAAGGAAACACAAGTTATTAGTGTTGATTTCTGTGAGATGGAATTTGGGAAGATTTGAATTTTCTTTAGACTTTTTTTGCAGATGCTGAATTTTCTGATAGCATGGGACTAACACTGAACATTTGGTTGCTGTGTTTATTTTTCTCAGTGCTTGGGGTGGTATGCCCTCAGTACTTAACATTATCATTAATGATCTATTCCAGTAAACTAAATAGACATATGCTTTGGTTTATCCATCATAACAAGGGATATGCTCATTAGTACCGAACCATGTTGGGGGCAAGATCCCAGCTTTCAAGGAGTGTGTCTTCTGGAAGGTGAGAGGAGGCATACGTGTATCTACAGTGTAACAGGCAGCAGTAGGTTCACTAAGATATGGCTAAGCCTCCTCAACAAGGTGACATTTCAGCCCAGCCTTGAAGCAGCATTTGGATTTTATATGTAACATTTGTCATTTTTTTTTACTCTATAAGCAATGTGTTTATTGCAGAAAAGTAGGGAAATGAAGAAGATAATAACATTGTACATAGGGTAATTATCACATGTGGAACACTGTGCTAAATCCTATGTATGGAGGAGTCTCATTTAAGCCCCAGTAGCCCCAAAAGATGGGTGTGATTATTTGTGCATTCCAAGGCAAGGAAAGACAGAATAAAATAAATTGATGAGTGGATTCAGGGTACCTGATTGGAAAATTGACACAGGCATTAATGGAACCCAAGTTGACCTGGTGCCATAGGAAAAAAATAAATAAATGTGAAGCCTATTGTTTCCATCTCTTTTCTTCCCTGTGTATGAGCTCTTCTTGGGTTTTTACTGCCTACATTCTGAGTGGTCATCACTCAAGCAGTATCTGCATATAGGTGGAAACTAAAGGCATACAAGTGGATGAGATTACCAGGGAAACATGCAGAGGAGAAGAGAAAGGGCTCTGAGAACCAGTCCCAAACAACAGAGATGGAGGCATCTTCCTAAGTCAGGGCTGGGTAGACAGGAGGCAGCATCAGGAAAAACTTCACTGTGGTAGTACTCTTGGAGCTGAATCTTAGAGGTTGAGGCTTGCCAGATTCAGAAGAAGACAAGTGTCCTTGAGCAGAGTGAGCAAAGGAAAGAACCTCTGCAAAGATGTATCAGATGCAAGGGACAGCATGTTAACTTGGAAAATCAGCAAGTGATTTCAGTGTGGTTAGAATAAAGGTATGTGTGTATGTGTATGTGTGTCTTTGTATGTTCATGTGTATGCAGATATCTGTGTGGGTGTGTGAGTGCATCATGTGTCTATGTGACTGAATATGTTTTCAGGAGGCTAGGGTGATGACAGAGAGCCTAGAGGACAAAGTAGTGTTCAGATCATTGAAGACTGTGTGTCCCTGTATTCAATGGTATGTGAAAAAATACATATAGAGAAACTTTTATTATGAGGAACTGGTTCATGTAACTGTGCAGAATGAGAAGTCTCATGATCTGACTTTTGCAAGCTTGGAGGCCCAGGAAAGCTGCTGGTATAATTCAGTCCAAGTCCAAAGACCTGAGAACCAGGGGAGCAGGTGATATAAATCCCAGCCTAAGGGCTGGAGGAGATGAGATGTCCCAGCTCAGTGAGGTGGAGTTTGGGGAGTGATGAATTCTTCCTTTCTCTACCTTTTGTCTTATTCAGTCCCTTTGCAGACTCAAATGCTCAGCCACAATGGTTGAAGGACAGGGAAGCCTAGCATGATGCAGTCCATGGGATCGCAGAGAGTTGGACACGACTGAGTGACTGAACAACCACCACCCCAGTGGGGAGAGCAGTTTACTGAGTCCATCAATTCAAATGCTGATCCCACCTGGAAACATTCTCAAAGAAAAACCCAGAACAATGTTTAATCTGGGCACCTGTGGCTCACTCAACCCAACAGATAAAATTAATTATCACAATCTCTTTTAAAAAGTTTGGAATATTATGGAAATAGTCTGGAAACAGAGTGAGATACCTGAAGGCCAGCTAACCCATATAAACTTTATTCATCTGCAAGGCAAATGAGAGCCTTTGAATTTACTACAAGACAGGAATGATAAGATGAGAACAGGGATTTTGGAAGATTCTTGGACTTGATGGTTTGGTGAAGAAGAGGCAGAAGAGAAGGAGACCAGGTGGTAGAATATTATAATAGTCAACAGAAAGAGGTGATGGGCATAGACGTTAGGATGGCAGCCACAGGGTAGTGGTCATTTACTAGGGTGAAGGGTCGTTTATTAGGGTGAAGGGATGAGTAATGGTGGATTTGGGCTGACAGAGATGAGAGACATCAGACAATTGACTCGGTTATCTGGGAAAATCCATAATTGAACCAGCAGTTCAAAAGCATATCCTTCCCTCACCAATGTAAAACAAATATTTACTGATTGCCTCCTCTGTATCAAGCCTGCACACGGGGAATCTGTAGTTCAGTGAATCTTAACCAGTAACCAGACTGCAGCAACCTAGTGTTACAAGGGCCCAGGAATCAATAGCCTCAGAAATGGCGGAGGTGGTTGAAACACCCAAGACAGTATTGAGTGTTAAAAAGACATTAGGCCCCAAATGGAGTCCCACATGGCACTAGTAGTTAAAAAAACAAAAAAAGACCCTGCCTTCCAATGCATGTAGACGTAAGAGACACAGGTTCAATCCCTGGGTTGGGAAGATCCCCTGGAGCAACCCACTCCAGTATTTTGCCTAGAGTATCCCATGAACAAAGGGCCTGGTGGGCTACCGTCCATAGGGTGGCAAAGAGTCAGGCACAACTGAAGCGACTTAGCACATGATAAGCCCCACCTGGCTCTTCCAGAAATGGAACCTTAAACTAGTCCATCAGGAATCACTTGAGCAGCAGTAGTTAGGTAATCTGCCTTCTAGACACCCTGCCATCCCCGAGAGGAAAGCAGCCTAGCAATAACCAACCTTCTCTTTTGCCTGGTGTAACTTCCTTGTTCCCGCTCCATTCTGTCTATGTAAGTCTTTCATTTCATACAGCTCCTCCAAGCTCCTTTCCATCTGCTGTGTGCGATTTGCCAGATTTGCAAATGGTTGAATAAAGCCAATAAGAGCTTTAAAATTTACTTAGTTGAATTTTGTTTTGTAACATGAAGGATCTGGGCTACCTTCCCTAGAAGGGCATTTTTAAGCTAGAAACTCAGAGGAAGCCAGAGCAGGAGAGTCCCCTACCCCCTGGCAGAGACAGTGGGACTGGTGATCCCCAGGTGAATAAGATTTGGTTTCTGCCATGGTGGATGGGGACAATTAACAGGACAATGCTATTGGACATAAATGCAATTAAGACATGCATATAGATCATTCTTTAGTCAAAAAAAGAAAAACTCTTTAGCTGTCTGGAACTATACCAACCAGAAGGTCAAAGTGAGATTTCCCAGGTGGCTCAGTGGTAAAGAATTTGCCTGCCAAGCAGGAGATGCAGGTTCTATCCTTGGGTTAGGAAGATCCTCTGGAGAAGGGAATGGCAACCCACTCCAGTATTCTTGCCTGGAAAATCCGGTGAACAAAGGAGCCTGGCGGGCTACAGTTCATGGGGTCGCAAAGAGTCCGACAGGGCTTAGCAACTAAACCACAGCAAGACTTCCCTCCAGTCCACCCCCAGGCACTTGAAGGATGGACTCAGGGTCCTCCTGGCTACTAAAGGAATGTAGTTCACGAGCCCTGGTGGCTATCGGCTGATGTCCAGAGACAGCCTTCCAGCCTTGTCCATTCCTTATCCCTCTGCTTGTCTGGTTTCTCATCTCCACTCTGGCAAACTGAGTCTGAAAGAGGGCAGCATTAATCGTTTTGGGGACCCGAAGGTGGGGGAGGCAGGAAAGGAAGAAAAAACGTACTTTGTGTACTAGAGAAAGAAAAAGGAAAGTGAAATCCGAAACGCATGGGCAGAAAGCGACCCCAAGCAGACACGTTGTGAACCGCTGGGGGGAGCACAACTCGGTGGGTGGGTGGGTGGGTCACCTGTCCAACCTACCCTTCTCCAGGTCTGGTATCAAAGCCGAAACCTGAAGGGTAGGGACAGCAGGGATAATCATCCTGCTTTTCTAATAATCCGCGTTTCTAAGCTCCCACTGCCCTCACCCCCCCACACACCCACCCCCAGTTCTCAGGCCCCAGCTCCCCACTTCCTGCAGCCTCGGTCCCAGGCCGGGGGCGTGTTTGAGGGGCGGGGCTGCGTGGAGCTGAGGAATATATATATATATATATATATATTTATTTATTTAAAGCTAATTAGCATCCTCCAATACCATTGGCTCTCCGCCGGCCCTGCTTTACATACGCCCGCCCCGCTGGCTGCCCAGGGCTTGCGGGGTTCGGAAGGGTTTGCAGCCGCCGCGGTCGCTGCTGCTCTTCAGTGCCGGGCGGGCGAACACCGAGTGAACCCCGGACCGGGAACCGGGAACTGGGGAGCCGAGAGCAAAGAGCTAGCTGCCGGCGGAGCTGCTGCCGCGGCGGCATCTGAATAAATTTCCGTCCTACGAACACCAAGGCCGGCGTCCAGCGGCTTCTGCGCCCAGCCCGGCCCAGTAGCGAGCGGATCAGACACTTTTATTTTATTTTGGAAGAAAGGGGCGAGTCCGGCGTGAGCTTCTCCCCCGGCCTGACTCGCTCCTTAGCGCGCCCCAGATCCGGCCTGGGCTCTGGAAGATGACTCCCTGGTGTGCCCTGTGGATTCCAGCGGCGACGGCTCGGGGAGGCATCCGAAAGTAGTCACACTTGGTAGCAGCGGCTGGTGGAAAAGTGAGCCGAAGCGGCGCCGACTCGGCTCTTCCCGCGCCCCGGCGCCCGCTGCTCCTCGCTGCTCCTTCCCCTCGGCTCCCCGGCGGCATGAAGTGGCGCAGCGATGGCCAGAAGAGGTAAGAAGCCGGTGGTGCGGACGCTGGAGGATCTAACGCTGGACTCGGGTTATGGTGGCGCGGCGGACTCAGTCCGCTCCTCCAACTTGTCCCTGTGCTGTTCCGACTCGCACCCGGCGTCCCCGTATGGCGGGAGCTGCTGGCCGCCTCTAACTGACTCCATGCACAGCCGGCACAACAGCTTTGACACTGTCAACACTGCCCTGGTGGAAGACTCCGAGGGGCTGGACTGTGCCGGCCAGCACTGCTCGCGGCTGCTGCCGGACCTCGACGAGGTCCCCTGGACCCTCCAGGAGCTGGAGGCGTTGCTCCTCCGCTCACGGGATCCCCGGGCAGGCCCGGTGGCCCCCGGCGGCCTGCCTAAAGACGCACTGGCCAAGCTGTCGACGCTGGTGAGCCGGGCGCTGGTACGCATCGCCAAGGAGGCACAGCGCCTGAGCCTGCGCTTCGCTAAGTGCACCAAGTATGAGATCCAGAGCGCCATGGAGATCGTGCTGTCCTGGGGCCTGGCGGCGCACTGCACGGCGGCCGCGCTGGCTGCGCTATCCCTCTATAACATGAGCAGTGCCGGTGGCGACCGCCTGGGCCGCGGCAAATCGGCGCGCTGCGGCCTCACCTTCTCTGTGGGCCGCGTGTACCGCTGGATGGTGGATAGCCGCGTGGCGCTGCGCATCCACGAGCACGCAGCCATCTACCTGACGGCCTGCATGGAGAGCCTATTCCGGGACATCTACGCGCGGGTCGTGGCCTCCGGGCTGCCCAGGAGCTGCAGCGGCCCGGGCCCGGGCTCCAGCTCCGGCCCAGGCCAAGGCTCGGGCCCCGGAGCAGCCCCCGCAGCGGATAAGGAGCGGGAGGTCCCGGGAGGGGGAGCGGCGAGCGGCGGCGCCTGCAGCGCAGCTAGCAGCGCCAGCGGGGGCAGCAGCTGTTGCGCCCCGCCGACCGTCGCTGCTGCTGCCGCCGCCGCAGCCCCACCGGCAGCCGCCTCCAACCACCACCACCACCACCACCACGCCCTCCACGAGGCGCCCAAGTTCACCGTGGAGACGCTGGAGTACACGGTCAACAACGATTCCGAGATCTGGGGGCTGCTGCAGCCCTACCAGCACCTCATCTGCGGGAAGAACGCCAGCGGTAAGTGGCCGCGCGGGTGCCGCCCCCTCCTATCCAACGCGGCCAACTCTTCTCGTAAGTTGGCCCTTCGGTCCCCTCCCGCGTCCTTTCGGCCGTCCGCTGCTATCTTAAACCTCTGAGGGGACCGCCGATCTGAAGACGGCCAGAAACCCCACCTAGCGCCTCCTGCTTTCGGGATGCGCTGCGCGTACTTTACGCGGCTGGTAGGGTCCCAAGCTAGAGAGCTTGCGGTTCCGCCCGCAATCCCCGGCGGAGCCGCGGCTGCCTCCTGCAGGCTGTAGGAAGAACACAGCGCCACTTTGGGGGGCGATCCTTTGCGCCTAGTATATATTTCTGCCAGAGCCCTGTGGGGTTTTTGTTTTTTGTTTTTGACCTTAAAGATGACAAATACCCGGGCGAAGGAGTTTGGCTCCCTGGAACTCGGGAGGAGACGCTTTCCTCCTTCCGCCGCGCATTTCGCTTGCTTTCCGGCGCCCTCGGGACGCCGTCGGTGAGCTGGTGGAGAGGCCCCGTGGCCGTAAAGGCAGACTGAGAGCTCACTCGGCCTAGTTGGGGAAAGGTGTACGTGGTGAGAGGATGGAACGGGCAGTTTTTCTGGGGCAGTTTTTGAGGCCAGAGCTCACAGCTGGTGGGCGCTGCGCAATGGACAATCCCCCTGATGGATACCTCCCAGCTCTTGCCGCCGTTGTCTGTCTGGGAGCTGCGGCTGTCACCACTTGGCTTAAGGGATCCCGTCAGGATGGGAGTGGGGCGGAGTTCCCGGGAGACTGCCAGTTTAAGAGGTGGTTTCCAGCAGGTTCTGTGATTCCTTTCCGCAACCCCTATTTTGAAGGCCGGAGCTGGGTGGGTTTGAACCTGCAGTTCTGGTGGCGGAGGGGGTGGGGCCGGGGCGTTTGTTTTCGAGAGCTCGAGCTGGCGGTCCTATCTGTCTGCGAAAGCCGGAGCTAGACACTTCAAAGCTTCAATTTTCCACAGGAAATGGTAGAAGTGTAACTGGAAACTCCAAAAGCGAAATAAAACTTTGTTACATATTCGGCGGTTTGGCTGGAGGCTGCGTGGTTGGAGCTGAAATGCAGTCTTTCTGGGCAGATTTCATTCATGTTGCTGCCTGTCAGTTTCCCCCGGGCCGAAGCAGAGATGCAGCGGGCGCGGCCCGGCCTCTGGGGCGGCCGAGTGTGTGCGTATTTGTGAGTCTGTGTGCGCGCGTCCGCGCGTGTTTCTGTGGGTGTGCGCAGAAGCAAGCAGCTCCAGCAGAAGCCCTTTGGAAAGGGAACCTCCAGTTGTCAGCCTGTTCACCTGGCTTTGGTCATCGTTGGGGGAGGGGAAGGAAGAAGCAAAAAGTGTGTGTGTGCGTGCGAGCGCGCGCATGTGTGTGCGCGCGGGGGAGCGTGGGTGGTGGGGTAAGGTTGGCAACTCGCCGATGCTCATCAAGACTCCTCCCACATCTTCGCCAAAGCCCTTGCCCCTCTGCTGCCTGTAGGAGAGCGAAGCCTCTAAAGGGAGGATACCTGGAAAGCTTCACATGCAGGGCCACCCCTACCTGTGAAATCCTGATGAGATGGAAACACCTGGGAGAAGGCATTGGTCTTTGTGTGTGTTTCTTCTGGAGGAGAATAAGGATTCACCTGTAAAACCCAGGAGCTTTGGACTGGATAATTTCTGTTTGAAACCCTGCCCCCACAAAAAGTACAGAGACTTAATTTTCTTCCCGCCCGCGTGAGCCCACCGCCCCTGTTCTTACCTCCCCGCCCCCCAACCCTTACCTGCTGTTCCGACTGGAATCTCCTCCCACCCCTGTTTCCTTTGGGAAGAAAAGGATTACCCTTTGGACTCCAGTTTGGCTTCCCTGGTGGTTCAGAGGTAAAGAATCTGCCTGCAGCACAGGAGACCCGGGTTGGATCCCTGGGTAGGAAAGATCCCCTGGAGAAGGGGATGGCTTCCCATTCCAATATTCTTGCCTGGAGAATTCCGTGGACAGAGGAGCCTGCCAGGCTTCAGTGGACTACAGTCCACGGGATCACAAAGAGTGGGACAGGACTGAGCCATCTGCACTTTCACTTCACTTGGGAATCTGGGTGTCCTGCTTCACCTCTGAGTTGGCCATTCTCTTGAAGTTGTGACTGTGGGTCATAACTGACTTTGCTTCTCTGGGCCTCAGTCTCCTCTTCTATATAATGAAGGCCTCAATCTGTAATACACTCCCAAGTCCTCTTGTAGCTCTGTCTGTCTGTGTTAGTAGCCTCTATATTTTTTTAAGTTGGTTTTACTTTTATGATCTTTAGCATCTTTTAAAGACAGTTTTTCTGTTTATCCTTTTTGGAGTAAGTATAATTTGAGGAAGGAGGAGACCACAGAGCTGGTTTGGGGCAGGGTGAGTGTGTGGTGGTTGGGGTTTGCTCTCATTGCAGCATTTCCACACCACAGAGCTTAACTCGTAAGTCTCAGGGCCCCTTCCACCATCTTGTCGTATGAGACATACTGTAATTTCATTGTGATCTCTTCATCTCTTTTCCTTGGGCTTGTTAAAAATGGAAGGAAGCAGCAAGAAATGAGCAATTAATTTTTTAGGTATCTGAAACATACATTAAACATCAAATCTATTTCTTCAACTATTTTGCATGACATTCTTTCTGATCTGCAAGTCTTACTAAGGAGCCCATGCCTTACATAATCTTTCTCCCCCTTTAACTCAGTAGTGTCACTTATTCATTCCTGAAATCATTTGTTCATCAATATTATTGAACAGTTACTAAATCTAGGCATTGAGCAAGTAGCAGTACAAGCTAATAACAGCTAACATGCATTCAATACCACTCTGTATATTGACCCATTTAACCCTCAACATTCACTTGGAAAGGTACTGCTATTATCCCCATTATACAGAGGAGGAAATTGAGGCACAGGTAACATAAATGTCTTGCTCTTTAGTGACAGATGAGTTCCCTGCCTTCAGGCCATCCTTGCTGCCCTTAATTAACTATAAGCTTCTGGTACACAGCTTCTTAGATGCCTGTTGAGTTGAGCAAGCTGTTGTATAATATTGTACAGTGATATCCAGAAACTAATTGTGGAATTCTGAATTCCTTGAATCATCTTTTCAAGTCTTTCTACCTTGGTTGCCCCTTCTTACTGCCATCTCTGTACCTGTCCCCCTTTCTAATTTTCTGCACCTATGACCCAAAGAATCAGGAAATGGATCACATGGGACTTGACTCAGAAAACAAAAGATAATTGGCTCTCAGTGAGGGCTTGCTGGCTTTCAGGAATCACATGTGTGGGCTTAGGGTGTGAACTCTGTGGTGACTGTTTTACTTTTCAAAGCTGGTTTTATTCTTTCATTGACTCTCAGCTGTTTAGAGTATCTGGGGTAACAAATAAGACAACTCAGTGAGGGTTGCATTTCAGTAGGGGGTTTAAAATTTGGCTTGATTGATTTTGCTAAAGCTCAATAAAGAGCAGGCAGAAGTGCTTCACCACACCATTATCTGTGCAATCATTTACCTTAAACCCCATCAGAGCTGGCCAGTTCCCACTCATCCCCAAAGACTTGGTTCAAAAACTGTCTTTCTGGAATCTCTGTGAGGCCTTCCTTGATGCAACCCTTTTTTCCTCCCCAAACCTTTGGCCTTCCACAGCCCTTTCCCCATCCAGTGGGAATCTTGACCCTGACTTTGCTCTACGTGATTCCCTGTTGCACTGTGGCACTAACAGTTGAGACTGTATCTTTGTCATCTTTGTATCTTTCTCCATATCACTCAGCACAGCACCTAACCCTCAGTAAATCCTGGGTACTATTTGTTGAATGATTATAACGAGCCCATTACATCCTTGAGCTATAAAATTTACCCATCAGCTTCTGTAAAAGTCTGTGAAATCAGGTATCCTGGATTTGAATTTCAAGGCTTACACTTTTCTAGCTGTGTGTTCTTACGTATCATACCTAATCACTCTGTGCCCCAGTTTCCTCAGCTGCAAAGTAGAGGTGATAATTATGAGGATTAAATGAAATTATTTATATAAATATTACAGTCTGGTGCATGACATATTTTAGGGGCCAAAATGGTGATGGTAGTCATATAATTCAGGCATAATGATATCTGTTATCTTTGTCTTATCCATGTGTTCAATGTGGATGGAACCAACAGGGTGCAGAATTTTAACCGAATCTTCCTTCCTGATATTCAAAGCATCAAATAAGTCAGTGCGCCCACCTCAGAGATTAACCTCATGCACATAGCCTCATTGCGAAGGTCACAAATAGATTGCTTGATCAAAGGAAAGTAGCCCATTTTATTGACTGTATTTCCTTTAAAAAAAAAAAAAGGCATCATTAGAGAAGGACACCAAGGAGCTTTCTGGGTGATAGAAATGTCCTTCTGTTGATAGGGGTGTGGGTTCAGAGGTATGTGCCTTTGTCAAAATGCATTGCATTGTAAACTTAAGATATGTGTGTTTCACTGCATTTCAAATTACACTTCAGTAAAAAAGAAGACATAAAAAGACACAGGCATCCTTGGATGGAATTTTGCTTTAAATGCAGAAAGAATTGGAAGAGAAGATTGCAAGAGGCAGTGTGGTGTGATGAAAGGGAGAGGGGCTTTACACTTAGAAAGATCTAACCTCAGATTTAAGCTCTGCCACTCTTCAGCAGGTGACTTAATTTTGCTGAATTTGTTTTTCTCATCTGCAGAGTGAGGCTTACAAAACCAAAAAAGACATAAAAAAGGAAGAAAACCCACACCTACCACATAAGGGTGATTAAAAGAATTAGATCAGATGTGTGAAAGCAACTGCCACATCGTAGGCACTCAATAATAGTGGCTTCCTTAAAAAACAGATTATTCAGACGTGGTAATAATAATAAGGGGATTTTGAATAGTCTCATTCACTTCTGGGATCCCTAATCACTTCATAAACATTAATTAACATGAGCCCTCACCTCACCACCCCTGGTTTGGTGGGTAAGTTGGTGTTCAGGTCTTTTGCTTTTCTGTTGCTCC